GTGAAGACATGTGTTTCCCCTATTGTCTGTTCTTGCCTCCTCTCAGTAGGGAGTGGTAGGGAGGAGATGGAGAGGAGACAGACAGGAAGGAAGAAGGGAGGAGAGGAGTCTGGACAGGGAAGCTCAGAGAGCAGGTATCGTGGAGAAACCGCAGAAGGGGAGGAGTGGGGTGCGGGCATTTCCTAGCTTCAGAAGCCTCCTTTAGTTCACAGGCCGTCTCTAAAATTTCTTTTTTTTTTTTTAAAGAATTTATCTGTGCTCCTCCTAGAAGCTTCTGATTTCCAAATCAGGATATGCTTCTCATTCATTCAGTTTAATTTTAGAGCTGGCATTTTCTAATTTTGCATGCAAAGAAATTAATTTAGGTGCCAGAAAAACACCTCCACTTTGGCCATCTTAAGTTGATATCATTTCTAGTTAAATCTTCCCAGTTTTGTAAGGACTTACAGGCAGAGACTTCCTATTTATTGTATATCTCCTGGTGTGTTAATTGGGGCTGAGGGCTCTGCTCTGGTGGTTGTGCTTTGAGGGGTCCAGAAAAAAGAAATTACTTCGCTATTCCAAAGGTATGTTATCAGGTATGCTATCTTAGATGTAAGAGGGCAGCAGACAGGCTCAGTTACGGTGAAGGTCGATCTTTGTTAGGGAATATGCTGGCCTAGGACATGAATGACCACCTGGCATGGATTGCTTTTCATTAAAAAGTTTTAAGCCCGGCCGGGTGTGGCTCAGCGGTTGAGCGTCGACCTAGGATCCAGGCGATCGGGGTTCGATTCCCGGTCGGGGCACATGCCCGGGTTGCGGGCTTGATCAATGACTCTCTCATCATTGGTGCTTCTATCTCTCTCTCTCCCTCTCCTTTCCTCTCTCTGAAATCAACAAAGATATATTAAAAAAAAAAAGTTTTAAGCGCGGCCGGCATGGCTCAGCAGTTGAGCATCAACCTATGATCCAGAAGATCAATGTTCGATTTCCCATCTAGGCACATGCCCGGGTTGCGGGCTCGATGCCCCAGTAGCAGGTGGGCAGGAGGCAGCAGNTTTTAAGCGCGGCCCGCATGGCTCAGCAGTTGAGCATCAACCTATGACCCAGAAGATCGATGTTCGATTTCCCATCTAGGCACATTCCCGGGTTGCGGGCTCGATGCCCCAGTAGCAGGTGGGCAGGAGGCAGCAGATCCATGACTCTCCCTCATCATTGATGTTTCTCTCTCTCTCTCCCTCTCCTTTCCTCTCTCTGAAATCAATAAAAATATGTATATTTTAAAACAAGTTTTAATTTCAGACCATCCTGTGTGGTTACTTTGGGTCTCTGAGTTTGAAAGGCCACCATGCAGGCCTCCCCTGAGCTTGTCAGGTTTAGTATGTGACCCTTTTTCATCCACATTTTTTAAAATTTACATACTGAATCCATGTACCATTTATTTTTTGGAGTATGTGAGATGACTATTTAATCTACCTTATTTTCTCAACATCATCTACTGTACATCAACTGAATGCTATATCTTATTTCCATTATTTGAAATGACAATTTTAACATATACTAAATTCTTATGTATATTTAGATCTGTTTCTGTTCTTTTTGGAAGCCAGCACCACTCTTTTAAATTATTTTTTATAATAATACACATTCCCAAAAGAAAATTCCTGCTTATTCTTTAAGGTTATATATTTCCTGACAAGGTTAAGAATTATTTGTCAAGTAGAACAAAACCAAACTCCCCATCAAAAGTTTTTATCGTGGTTTTGATTGAAATTAAGTATTATAGAATTTTCTGTAAAGGTAAATACAAATATGAAACAATAGACTTTTCCCGGTGCAAAAAGTGGGAAAGGCCTTCGCTCCCGTTTTCTTAGAGCATTTCCTTGAGAAAACTGTGAATCTTCTCTTTGTCCTTCTCATACGAATGCAAATCTTCTCAAAAGTAAACACGGCCTCTTGTTATTTTACACCCCAGGACACCTCTGTAGAGGCCGCGAAGCTGTGACTTTGAAATGTAAGTAACCCAGACAACCGCTCTTCCAGGGGAATTTAGGATCAACTAACCCAGACAACCACTCTAGTTACCAGGGGAATTTAGGATGCAACTAGCCCAGACAACTCTAGTCACCAGGGGAATTTAGGATGCAACTAACCCAGACAACCACTCTAGTTACCAGGGGAATTTAGGATGCAACTAACCCAGACAACTCTAGTCACCAGGGGAATTTAGGATGCAACTAACCCAGACAACCACTCTAGTTACCAGGGGAATTTAGGATGTAATATAACCCAGACAACCACTCTAGTTACCAGGGGAATTTAGGTCAACTAACCCAGACAACTCTAGTTACCAGGGGAATTTAGGATGCCACTAACCCAGACAACTCTAGTTACCAGGGGAATTTAGGATGTAACTAACCCAGATAACCACTCTAGTTACCAGGGGAATTTAGGATGTAACTAACCCAGATAACCACTCTAGTTACCAGGGGAATTTAGGATGAACTATGTAGCAAATGGGTTAAGTCCTGTCCAATGGGATGTATATACCTGGCTATGCAAAATTGTGGTATTTCCATCTTTGCGAACTCATTAACAGATGTCCTGGGATGGTACCACAGTTCCCTCTAATGCTTATTCAATCATAAAATTGTTTCTTCTATTATCCATCTGTGGACAGGATTTTCTGGGTTGACAAGAGACATTTTTAATCATTTCCCCAACACCTCTCATTCGGAAAACTGGGGTGTGTGTGTGTGTGCCCGCGCGCGCATACATATACAGGGTGGGGCAAAAGTAGGTTTACACTTGTGAGTGTAGAAAATAATACAGTAATTAATAAATAATAATACAGGAATNAGAAAACTGGGGTGTGTGTGTGTGTGTGCCCGCGCGCGCATACATATACAGGGTGGGGCAAAAGTAGGTTTACACTTGTGAGTGTAGAAAATAATACAGTAATTAATAAATAATAATACAGGAATAAACTTTTGCATACTCACAACTGTAAACCTACTTTTGCCCCACCCGGTACACACACACTCTCAAATATATGTACGTATTTTTCTTATATGAATTCCACGGTTTAAAATTACTTTATGGAAAACATTTTTGTAATTATTTTGAATGGACACATGTCTACTGCTCGCACGTGGGGAAATTACTGCCATGAAGTTACTGAGCAGGAAATCAGCGCACATTCAGCGCCTGGCCCCTAGTGAAACGACAGCGCCGTGGCCCATTGGGATGACACCAGTGAGCATCTCGGAGGAGTGGGCCCCGGGCGCTGGGCGGGTTTCCCTCCGGCAGCGGAGCGTGTGGCCCTCGCGCTCTCAGCTTCTCCAGCTTCTCTTCCCCGCGCGTTTCCCGCGTCGTTTGAATCATTCCGGGCGCCCGGCTCCCGAGCGCGGTCCCAGCTCCTTTGTCCCGCGCGTCGACCCCCGCGCGGGCGGCCCCGCCTCCCGCCCGCT